ATTATTAATCAGGGATATCATCTAAATAGTTAGATAACCCAAACAACATCATTAACCACTCATACAGACCCACATTTATCTTAAAAGTAGTCTTCTATTCGCCTCCCAGTCTAATACAAATCTAATGATAACAACTCTTTAAATCAATCTTTGAAAATATTTTCGAACCAACCAGTATATCTAATATATCATCTAGCCGTGGTATTTGATGATTCAACTATTTATACACATACGCCACCTGCCATCTTTTTGCGGTACTAACAAAGTTGGAACAACACATAGACTCGTACTCTCTCGCACCATCCCCTTCTGAATCAAGTCCTCAACTTGATACTACAAATCAGACTTTCTTTTGGGCTCATGTGATAATACGATAATTGCAACTGACTAACACCAGGCACAAGATCTATGTGTTGAATTTCTCACATAGGAGGTAGTCCAATGGGCAACTCGGTTGGAAAGAAGTCCTTGAATTCTCTAAGCATTAGTTGTACTAGACACCTTTTCTCAAACTATCAGTGTTAAAATCTATCCGGATTCGTTGGCATCCTAAAAAAACTATTGCTCACTGCCAATTAAAAGAACTGATTTTCCTTTACCTTGTGAAGTCTTGGAAATTCTATCATAGGACCCTAAAAACTACTGCTCATTGCCAAAAGAACTGATTTTCCTTTAGCTTGTGTAGCCTTGGAAAAACCCTCTTCTATTATAGGACCCACTTCTATAAAAACTACTACTCACTGTCAATCAAAATAACTGATTTTTCTTTAGCTTGTGAAACCTTGGAAAAACCTTTTTATTTTATTTTATTTTATCATAGGACCCAATTTTATTATAGGACCCTAAAAAGAACTGATTTTTGTTTAGCCCTAGCTTTTGGAACACTGCTAAAAAAATAACTAATTTTCCTTTAGCCCTAACTTTTGGACCATGGCTAAAAAGAACTGATTTTCCTTTAACCCTAACTTCTGGACTATGGCTAAAAAAATTGCTCCTCACTGCCAATCAAAAAAACTGATTTTCTTTTAGCTCTAACTTCTGGACCATCACTCTTGGAAAACCCTCTTAATGCCAATCAAAAGAACAGATTTTCCTTTAGCATGTGAAGACTTGGAAAAACCCTCTTCTATCATAGGACCCTAAAAACTATTGCTCACTGCCAATCAAAATAACTGATTTTCCTTAAGCCTGTGAAGCCATGGAAAAACCCTCTTCTATAATAGAATCCACTTCTATAAAAACTATTGCTCACTACCAATCAAAAAAACTGTTTTTCCTTTAACTTGTGAAGCCTTGAAAAACTCTCTTTTATCATAGGACCCTAAAAAGAACTGATTTTCCTTTAGCCCTACCTTTCGGACCATGGCTAAAAAGAGAACTGATTTTCCTTTAGTCTTAACTTTTGGACCACGGCTAAAAAAAGAACTAGACTATGGCTAAAAAGAATCCTTTAGCCTTAGCTGCTACCATGGATAAAAAAATTTCTCCTCACTGCCAATCAAAAGAACTGATTTTCTTTTAACCCTAACTTTTGGATCATCACCCTTGGAAAACCTTCTTCTAAAAATTGTTATTCACTGCCAATCAAAAGAACTGATTTTCCTTTAACTTGCGAAGACTTGAAAAAACCCTCTTTTATCATAGTACCCTAAAAACTACTGCTTACTGCTAATTAAAAGAACTGATTTCCTTTATCTTGTGAAACTTTGACAAAACCTCTTCTATAATAGGACCCACTTCTATAAAAACTACTACTCACTAGCAATCAAAATAACTGATTTTTCTTTAGCTTGTGAAGTCTTAGAAAAACTCTCTTCTATTATAGGACCCTAAAAAAACTGATTTTTCTTTAGCCCTAACTTTTGGATTACAACTAAAAACAGAACTAATTTTCCTTTAACTCTACCTTTTGGACCACAGCTAAAAAAAGAATCGATTTTCCTTTAGCCCTAACTTTTGGATCACGGCTAAAAAAAGAACTAGACTATGGCTAAAAAGAGCTGATTTTCCTTTAGCCGTAGCTTCTGGACCATGGCTAAAAAAATTGCTCCTCACTGCCAATAAAAAGAACTGATTTTCTTTTAGCCTTAACTTTTAGACCATCTTCTAAAAATTGCTACTCATTGCCAATCAAAAGAACTGATTTTCCTTTAGCTTATAAAGACTTGGAAAAGCCCTCTTTTATCATAGGACCTTAAAAATTACTGCTCATTGTTCATCAAAAGAACTGGTTTTCCTTTAGCTTATGAAGCCTTGAAAAGAACCATTTTCTATAATAGGATCCACTTTTATAAAAACTACTGCTCACTGCCAATCAAAAGAACTGATTTTCCTTTAACTTGTGAAGCCTTGGAAAAACTCTCTTATATCATAGGACCCTAAAAATAACTGATTTTCCTTTAGCCTTAGGCTTTGGATCATGTTTAAAAAAAGAACTAATTTTTCTTTAGCCCTAGCGTTTGGACCACCGCTAAAAAAGAATTGATTTTCCTTTAACCCTATCTTTTGGACCACGGCTAAAAAATGAAATAAACTACGGCTAAAAAGAACTGATTTTCCTTTAGCTCTAGCTGCTGGACTACGGCTAAAAAAATTGCTCCACACTGCCAATCAAAAGAACTGATTTTCTTTTAGCCTTAACGTTTGGAACATCGCCCTTGGAAAATCCTCTTCTAAAAACCGATACTCACTGTCAATCAAAAGAACTAACTTTCCTTTACCTTGTGAAGACTTGGAAAAACCCTCTTCTATCATAGTACCCTAAAAACTACTGGTCACTGCCAATCAAAAGAATTGATTTCCTTTATCTTGTGAAACTTTGGAAAAACCTTTTCTATAATAGGACTCACTTCTATAAAAACTAATGCTCACTGGCAATCAAAATATATGCTAACAAGAACTGGTTTTCCTTTAGCTTGCGAAGCTTTAGAAAAACTCTCTTCTATCACAAGATCCTAAAAAGAACTGATTTTCATTTAGCTCTACCTTTTGGACCATAGCTAAAAAAAGAACTGATTTTCCTTTAACCCTAACTTTTGGATCACGGCTAAATAAAGAACTAGAGCACGACTAAAAAGAACTGATTTTCCTTTAGCCCTAACTTCTGGACCACAGCTAAAAAAATTGCTCCTGCCAATCAAAAGAACTTATTTTCTTTTAGCCCTAACTTCTGGACAAACCCTCTTCTAAAAACTGCTATTCATTGCCAATCAAAAGAACTGATTTTCCTTTAGCTTGTAAAGATCTGGAAAACCCTCTTCTGTCATAAAAAGTTCTGCTCACTGCCAATCAAAAGAACTGATTTTCCTTTAGCGTGTGAAGCTTTGAAAATCTTCTATAATAGGATCCACTTCTATAAAAATTACTGCTCATTGCCAATGAAAAGAACTGATTTTCCTTTAGCTTGTGAAGCCTTGGAAAAACTCTCTTCCATCATAGGATCCTAAAAAGAAATTATTTTCCTTTAGCCCTAGTTTTTGGACCACCACAAAAAAAAAAAAAAAAAAAATTGATTTTATTTTACCCTTAACTTTTGGACCACCGCTAAAAAAAGAACAGATTTCCCTTTAGCCCTAGCTTTTGGACCACCGCTAAAAAAAGAACTGATTTTCCTTTAGCCCTATATTTTGGACCACGACTAAAAAAAGAGTTAGATTATGGCTAAAAAGAACAGATTTTCTTTTAGCCCTAGCTGCTAGATCACGGCTAAAAAAATTTCTCCTCACTGCCAATCAAAAGAATTGATTTTCTTTTTGCATTAACTTCTGAATTATTGCCCTTTTATAAAAACTGCTACTCACTGCCAATAAAAAGAACTGATTTTCCTTTAACTTGTGAAGATTGGAAAAACCATCTTCTATCATAGGACCATAAAAAATACTGCTCATTGCCAATCAAAAGAACTGATTTCCTTTATCTTATGAAGCCTTGAAAAAACCTTTTCTATAATAAGACCCACTTTTATAAAAACTACTGCTCATTGCCAATTAAAAGAACTAATTTTTCTTTAACTTGTGAAACTTTAGAAAAAACTCTCTTCTACCATAGGACCCAATTCTATCATAGGAACTTAAAAAGAACTGATTTTCCTTTAACCCTAGTTTTTGGACCATGGCTAAAAAAAGAATTGATTTTCCTTTAGTTCTAGCTTTTGGACCACAACTAAAAAAAGAATTAATTTTCCTTTAGCCCTAACTTTTGGACCACAGCTAAAAAACAGAATTAGACCATGGCTAAAAAGAACTGATTTTCCTTTAACCTTAGCTTCTGGACCACGGCTAAAAAAATAGCTCCTCACTCCCCATCAAAATAACTGATTTTCTTTTAGTTCTAACTTCTGGACTATCGCCCTTGGAAACCCCTCTTTTAAAAACTGCTACTCACTGCCAATCAAAAGAATTGATTTTCCTTTAGCTTGTGAAGCCTTGGAAAAATCCTCTTCAATCATTGGACCCTAAAAAAATCGATGCTCAGTTCCAATCAAAAGAATTGATTTTCCTTTAGGTATTGAAGCCTTAGAAAAACTCTTTCACTCTTGTTTTTGCCCCTTTCTTAATCCAGCTAATTTTATAGGGACTTAGATGGTACTTTATTTTTAGCCCTAGCTTCTAGACTATCGTCCTAGACACAATTTTCTTGCCGCTGCCACTATCAATAATAACATCACAGAGTTTCAACGCACCTTCTCAGGAATGCCTCTGTGGATGCTTATCTTTCTTTAGGGCTAGTAGCAACCTTCGCATTACTAGAGAATGTGAAAGTAACATTCCCTCATTTTCTCCTACCACATCATCCTCATTATTGGATGGCAACCCATATTTAGAATCATTCTCTTGATCCCCGTCCTCAGGCTTTATTAATTTTACTACGCTTCTTTTACGATATTGGTTAGATCCACTCCCTGGCTGCTTGCATCGATAACACTTATTAGGGCTTGGCCAACTGTAGGGATTATTTTTGGGCACTTCATAACTCGTTACAAAAACTTTTCCTACATTCTTCGATTGTGTACTGGTGCTACACGAATCATGTGTTGCTGTAACAGAAAGTTAAGGGTTCATGGGCTATTTTGCTTTGTTCGCTGCAAAGAGCGACGAATCAAAGTAATTTTTGGAGCCTGCTTGTGAATTCGACCTTTCCAAATATGTCTCTACCCTCATCACTACATTGATGGCCTCTTTTGTAGTGTAAATCGTATATATTGAATCCTTATGTTGAATAGAAAATCACAACCATTCAGATAACAAGCGCTGCTGCATCTCAATTTCCATTAGATTATTACGTGATGATAATAGAATAAATTACTTAGTATAGGCCTGAACTGTTTTACTCCCCTGCTTGCAATCCTGATACTTCCTCATACTATGGTTGTAGAAATCTGGCCCTTAGTAGACGTTTCACCTTTTGCAAAGAGCATACTCGTGCCTTCCCTTGCCATGCACAAGAAACCTGTAGCTTTTCCCACCACGAAGAAGTTCCTTCCTTCAGTTTGTACGCCACTAGTTTTATTTTCTTATCTTCTTGAATATTCATGTAATAAAAAATCCCTATATTTCTGCTACCTAGTCCAAGAATTCTTTAATATTAATGGATTGTTAAAACGGGGAGGTCCACATTCATACAAAAATTCTTAGAATCATGATCTCCATGATCCCGATATCTTCATGCACCTCTATGTCCCCCAAACACCTTTTCAGCGTAGTCTTCATCATCAGTGAAGTCTTCCTCGTACGTAGGCTAACTACGCCGCAGGATGGGGATGGGGTTACGATCACAAACAGGACGAAAGCGATCTCCGTCAATGTTATGTAACCGTAACATGTTGTTATCACGATTTTGCTCTAGACCCAATCTAAGGGTTGCTTGTATATCTTGTAGTTCCTGTTGGGTTATCTGTTGAAAGTCCTAAATTTCAGTCCTTAAAAGAGCCACTCCCTGTCGATCTTCATCGCCAATGAGGTTGTCACCACCACGATCATCTGGAATCAGTCTATGATAAGACACAGCTTTGATACCAATTGATGAAGCAAAAGCTATGAATGTTCACGAAGAAATGATAACAACTTTGAATCTATAAAGTTAAGAGAAAACTTGCAAAGAAAATATGATATTGTATTGATAATTGAATGTGTAATTATACTCTATGCAATATATATATTTATAGTGAAAAGAAAACCCTCCATAAGGAAACTAGCAGCATTAGGAAACCTTATAACATAAGAAAACCTAATATCAAAAGAAAACTAACGCTAAAAATAAGCCTAAAAAATAACTTTCTCAAAAAATTACAAAACAATAGTATAAGAAATCTAATCACTAAAAATTACTAAATATAAAAATTCAGAACAATCCATCTTCGTTTAGGTCATGAACAAAAATTCCCAAATATTCAATAGGCCTCCTAAAAGTCAGAAAAATGGGGTTTTGAGGCCATATACAATAGAATTTGCCCAAAAAAAGTATACGTAACAACATAGCAATGTGTATTGCTCGTTGCCTGTTTCCACGTGAAAAACACTCATTTGGGGTTGAAAACATTCTTCGGCCTTGGCCTGAAAACATGTCAGCATGCCTGTTTGGCCATCTGACAGTCCAAACTGTTCATATGGGCTTTGGTAATAAGTTTTACAACATTTCTGGATTGTGAACTTTGATAAAGTAACACAATAACTAAGGGAGAACCTGACGTTGAAGGAGTCCTCTTAAGGTTTATGCTTCCTTGATTATTTGTGCCCTCTTCGTGAGCCATCCTTTTTTACTCTTCATTGTGTTTTCCTCTCCTTGAGGAATTAAATATATTAAACCCATTCTCTCTTTCTCTCTCTCTCTCTCTCTCTCTCTCTGTATATATATATATATATATATTATTAAATATATTTGTATCAATAAATTTCTTCTTTTCTTCTTTTTTGTATTGGTGAAAAAAAAAAGAAAAGTGATGAGAAGTAATTGTTACGTACAGAGTTTGGGAAGAAGTTCCTTTAGAGTTCTGAAATGAGACCCAATAGCGACCAATGCTTTGCCCGTTAATCCAAACTTCGCCTTTGCCCATTGTGCTAAGGTCCAAGGCGACTGGGTCATTTCCTTTAGGCCTGTCAAATACTGTCTGCCAAATTTATCATCATGTCAGATTATAGTTAATGAAATCTTCAAGTAATTAATTTTAAAACAGCTAATTAAACAACTTTTTTCTTGTAACCTTTAAAGAAAACAATATTTCCTTGTAAAAGAATATTCTTTTCATTAATTTCCAAAAAAAATATTCTTTTTTATTTGTTTTTGTTTTAATTTGATGTACTTATAATGATTTTATCTGTGACTAAATATGAAAACTGACTTGCATACCTTATACCAAGTGAATGGCTGATTGGTAGAAATTTTGGTTTTACTCCACGCCACATTACTCAAGTTTTGGTCATTATATATTTGTAGCTTCTCCCCCAACATCCCAACCTGTGACTAGTCGTCTCAGTAAACAAGATATAGAAGTTCCTTTTTTACTCTTCAAAACATCTTTAGTACTTTAATTAGAAATTATTATTACGAAACTAAGCAGAAAATAAAGAAAAAACATATTAAACACACACAACAAGAACACACAGATTTTTACTTGGTTCACTAAAAAATTGGGCCATGTTCAAAGGTTGAAGGGATTTCACTATGATGATAAAAATGATGGTTTTGTATGCCCTAGCATAGAAAATTTAACGGATTGTAAAGACTTTTTGTTCCTTCATTAATCTAAGGTTTATGAATGCTTTGTCTATATGTGGTGGATGCAATGTATTGGTTCAATTTGGTATTTAAATTGAGGTTGTCCATTTGACTACACAAGTGATTTATATGTATGTGACAACGATCATATACCGGAAATACAAATTGCGGATATTGTGTTATCTTAAATGGTTCATGGTTGGTAATAAAGGACGGACTCTTTATTAATTAAGAGATGAACCGGATCTAGGGTAAGATAAGTGAATTGTGAGAGCCATTGTAACAATTGCTGCTTATCATTGTCATGGTGAATGACTCTCAAGCATGAGAGGTGTCTGGACTCTTGTATTAATTAATAATTATTTTAATTTATTTGGTGGGCCCTAGGGTCTAATATCTAAGTACTTTGGGTAATTATTAATTTATAGTTTGTGAATATACTCTCAATAATTGCATTGATGCTATATTTTATTTATTTTTACCTTGATTAGTTTGATCACGGGAAACTTCAGAGGCCTTTTTTTTTTTTTTTTTTTTTTTTTTTTTTTTTTTTGATAAAATTGGTTTTCATATATATTTATCTATAAATATATTATTTTATCAAATAAATATTTTACGTGATCAAATAGGAAATAATCAAGAAGTCAAAATAATTAGGTAGCCAGATTGATGACATTTATTTATCCGACAACTAATTAAGCATAGAGGGGTCATTATGTAACTTGACTTAGTGGTTTGTCATTTTTTTATTGGAGTGCAATTAATCTTATATAGTGGAGGTAAGATTAATTAATAAGTTAATTGAATTGGGTCATTGCGTTCTTTAATCGGGTCAATTATTAATTTATTGGAGCCAAAAGAAAAATGAGCCCAATGGATCCTCACCACTTGCCCGTACGATGACTTAGGCCCAAGAGAATGAAAACATAAAGAAAAGTGTAGAGATTGATGTGGGGTACCATATGCAAGTTGAAGGGACTGATCTGTTCACTCCTAGCAACTTGTATATAAAGGTTGTATATTGAGAATGTAAGGTAATATATATTACTCAAGTAGTTGTAGAGAAAAACCCTAACCTCCATCTTCTTCTCTACTATATCTCTCTACACACAAGGGTTTTATATTTTTCTCTTTGATCCCACCATCAAGACTATGGAGATTATCTAGAGGTTATAGTGGTGATTCTAAAGGGCAAGAAAGGAGGGAGAATAAGCTTTGTAAAGGGTCTTCATAAGAGTGAACATACTCTTGAGGATTGAAATTTGAGACTCTCCCAAGTCTCTAGGTGAGAATTCTAATCTCAATATATATATATATATGTGTGTGTGTGTGTGTAAAGCATCATCTATATTCATATAATGAAAATCTCTACACATAATTATGACCTGGGCTTATAATACATGCTTTCGAATTTTTTGAAATCCCATTTCCTAACAAAAAAATTCGGTCTCAATACGGAGAGTTCAAAATGAATAAATTCCCTAGCATTAGGGCAACGATAATAAGTGCAAAAATTACCAAAATACTCTAAAAAACTTCGGGTATCTATGTTCAAGGCTTGCTGCAATTTCTTTATGATGATAAAAAATTGGTCCCAATAGTGAGAGTTTATAATGAATAAATACACTCGCACTAGGGCAAAATAATAAGTGCAAAAAATACCAAAATACCCTTAAAAGGTATCTATGTTCAAGGGTTGCTGTGATTTCACTATGATGATAAAAAACCGGTTCTAATACTGAGAGTTCGGAATGAATAAATACCCTTGCACTAGGGCAATACAACAAGTACAAAAATTACCAAAATACCCTAAAAAAAACTTCAGATTTCTATTAGACTCTACACTGCCCATCAATTATCAACATGGAGCATTGCCAATAATAGTAACTTATACAAGTACCCAAAATGAGAAACATTGTGGAATAGTGGTAAGTTTTGCATATAAATGATTCTAGAGAGAAAAAGCTCACCTGATATCCCCATTCTTGATTAGTGAAATTAAATGTTCCTTCTTTCGAGCATTGAATCTCCACCTTAGTCAATCCTGCAAATCTACTCTCTAGAAAAGGACCAGAGTCCTTCATGCAAATATATAAATAAATTCAGTTGATACATAATTTTTTTTTTAATCAATGAGATAAACCATAAAAGCAAAAAAATATAAGTATAAAGATATTACCGGTAATCCAACCATTACACTGAGTATTGAAATATTGTTCATTTCATTATTGAGCAATATTGGCATCTCAAAAGTGAATCCTTTAGCATCATGACTTCCATGAGCAGTACCTTTAAAACAAAACAACAAGGAGTTCAGTGATTTATGTTGGGAATATATGCCCTACAAGCCAATTATTTATTATTTATTTGATATTTTATTAATAAATGTGATATTCATGCATATATTTGTATGAGATGCATTATTGTCCTTAAGTTGCATTATAGGTGACCTAAGTGTGCAAATGAGATTTACACACAGGAGATTTGGGCTCACCTTTTTCTTACACCTTGGCATTGTTCGCAGTCAGTGATAAAAGTTGGGCACTTTTATCTGTAAGACTGTAACACACTTAACTTTATAAGATAGGATGGCTTGTCTTAACCATTGGGGTAGTTGGCTCTAAGGCAGTGTGTTAGTGTGCTTGGAGTACACTGAATTGGATCATTGTGAGATCACATCATACAAATTACTTATTTTGGTGTGATTCTTATCTACTAAATACATTAAGTTCAAAATCTTGAGAGGTTTAGTGGACTCAAGTTTCAGTATTGGTCACTTTGACTTACTAACGTGTCAGATCTTGTAAGGTCAATACAACGGTATCTTGGGTGGCTAATGTTGGAGCTCTGGGAACACAAATGCTCAACATGGAATCCACACACATTATAAAAGTTAGAATATACCCTTGATGCAATTTAATAAGTTTGATCACTGGAACCTGGCTAGGGCATTTTAGTAAAATGTTTACTAAATTATTTTTCTATTATTTATTTAGAAAAATATTTATTTTGTAAAATTATTTTATAAAAGAAATTCAGTGATCATAAGGATTAAATTGGTTACTCAAGGAATATAAGAAGTAAGCATGCCTTAGGTGGGACGGTATTTATTTTCGTTAGGGCTACTTATGGATATTCGGTAGTGGAGGGACTTATATGTAGTTATTTAGTATGACAGGAATCCTAAAGTGCAATTACAATATTATTGTGGTGCTTATTGTAATTAATTTGATAGGATAGAGTTATCTCTATCTCTATCTAATTGAAGATAAGATAAGAATTCTTTTTGATCCTCATCTCTAGCCCCATCTATATACGCGATATATCTCTCAGGTTGATCATTTTGGGGTTATTCACGCTTTATCTACAGAATACAAAATAATCGAGAGTGAGAGATATAAGGTTTCCACAAATTGTGTTGTGTTCAGGGGATATAGAGGTGAAGTTTTACGGGTGTTTAAGACCAAAGGAGGAGTAATCCAATTCACTATTATTCTCGGAGTGGTGACGATTAAACAATCGTCAAAAAGGTATGACATCCTTTTCAATAGTTCTTGATTTGATGAAATATCACGTGGTTAAGATACAATATTTTATAATTGCTTCCGTTTTTTCCTTCAATTTATTCTTAAGTATTCTCAAATTACTGGATTTCACTTCTCTGCCTAATTCTTATTCTAAAACTTAGTAATTATTTTTTCTATCACAGAAAATATTTATGTACCAAAATATAGAAAATTTTCCACAATTATGCATAGAAGATCCAAGTTGAATATATAAAAATGTCATGTTTCATTGGAATTCCCTTTAACAAGATGTTATCTGTTAAATTATAGATGAAAAAAAACTTAAGAACTTACCAAAATAAATGTTATTGACAATTGCGTGCGCAACGTGCCCAAGAGATTCAATATGAAGTACTGGCTCAGAGCAAGATGAATTTTGTTGAAAACTGCAATTCAAGTTATATATAAAAATAAGCTTTAGCATGAACTTATATTTTTTATTTTTTTTATGTGTAAAGTTTAGCCTGAATTTATTTTGAACCGCAAATATATATATGTATATATATATATACATGTATGTATCAAATGGATTAGGTGTGTATTTGCAACTTACTTTCAGGGAGAACTTACCTAGAGGTATACCAAAGGTAATCAGATTCATCTTTTGTTGTGTTCATGTGCTCTAGCAATGAATTTGATTTTAATGAGGTATCCGAGAAGTTCGGGATCACATCTTTGAATTCTTCCCACCCGTCCTCCGAATCAAACTTTTGGTTTGATGTTGCTGTTCTTTCATTATACTCGGTTTTAACCTGTGACGATTACAGGAAAAGTCTAGTTTTTCATTTCGAATTTTCATTTCGAGTTTCACCATATAAAGGAAAAATATACATCATATATTACTATGAGAGTCTGTTCCATATGAGAATTGAGACGATGGAGATGCATAAAAACGGTAAGAGAAAATGAACTCCTGATTAGCCCTAATGGACAAAAATATAGTTGTAATGGCAAGAATCTATCAATGGTAATGTATATAAAATAAAAATGTTTATGATATTTGCATAGATTCATATTCAATATTATGCAATTATTAGAGTGTTTACCACAGGTCCTCAAAATCTTATTCTTTTAAGATTCGACGTGTATGCATATCTGTGTTGTATCGTGTTACTGTCCCGTGTCAATATCTATAGTACAGGCAGTACTATTACTTTTGTGATGCATATTACTTGTGCCATAATAAAATTCAGAATAGAGCTTGTGCCATTTGGTCCTTTGCAAAACAGCAACTAACAATGACACAACTACAAAATTTTAAAAGTAATAACAAAAATCAAGGTAATCTTACAAGGCACTAAGTGTGAGTATACATTTAGTTTTATCTTTTGTGATCAACAATTCTGAGATGGTTTGAATTGTGCTTGGATTTTTACAATGCTATATGTCTTTTTTTGTAGTTTTGTACTACTATTTCCAACTAGATTTAATCGGCAAGTCTAACTCACATATTGTGATGTTTTTGAGAACAAGGGGTGGGCTGATTAACTTTTGAAAACATACATGTACACATATCCATGCAGGCAAACATATATGAATATTTGTATCATGCATGGAGATATTATGTAACTTCGTGTTTATGTAAATGAAGAACGAATCGACTGACCTCATGTAATGGATATTTATGCTCATAATGTTACATAAGAATGAATGAAACAATTGAAGGAAAGAAGTTGTTCTTAAATATCAGATGCTAATATTTATACTTTCCCTAATAAAGAGGACTTGTAGTTCTGTACTTACATATGAAGATGTGTGTGACTGGAAAAAAAAGAACAGAAAAAAGAATACATAATGTTTGCTTAAAAAAGAAAATATAAAATTTTAACTCACCGTCGCTGTGCTGAAAATTACATGTTCACAGTCTGATAGGATACTTATCGACTTTGGAAGCAATTCGAATGAGATATTTCGAAATTGGACAGTCGCATTATTTTTTTGATCATTGTTTAACAGAAATGCCACACATCCTCCTGATTCTTCTTGGAAAACATAGGCCTGTAGTTGATAAAGAAAAAATTATTTTTGTGACTAATTCTTTGTAGGAGTAGATACTAATTTAAAAGATTATATAATTGAGACATATATATATATATATATATATATAACCTCTTGGAGTTGACCAAAGGAGAAATTAGTCTGCACTCCCTGTAGCAAAGTTGCAGAGCAAAATTTAATTGCAGCATGCATCTGCCTAAGATGTCCCCATTTGGGCTGTCTTATTAACCCTGCACTAGATGAAATATCTGGTTTTAATTTATTACATACTCATAATACACACACACACACACACACACACCACTCACCATATTCATCAAGAGGAGCTTGATCATAATAACTTGTTTTGAAATATGAAGCGCCTGTTCTTCCAAAATTCGTTCCACCATGATACTAGATTAGAGGTACAATGATACATTTGTTATGATAACGTTTTCACAACTATGATATCTATCTTCTACTAGTGCAAGTTCATAGAATATACATGGATCAAAAAGCTTAAAAAAGGCAACACATGTTAACATATTAGTGACTTATAATTTAGATTTTCCTACCAGAAACATACCATGTAATAGTTCACATAGCAACCCTTTTTCGCAATAAAAAGTGTTGTGTGAAATGCAATGTCTTCAGCAGATCTTAAGTAAGGTTCTCCACCAAATACTTCATAGCTTCAAAAAAAAGAGAAATATTAGTTGACCAAATAATCAGTTTTATGTTACATTTACACCTTAGCAGATCTTGTACTTAAATTTCTTAAAATAATTGCTTTTTATTTCCTCACTACTCCAAACATGAGAAAAGGAACTAGATATATTTTCCTTTCCTCCGTTTGCCTCTCTCCCCTCTTTCAAAGAATGAAAAATGAAGGAAAAATTCAGCGGAAACCTTACAAAGAGGTCCAATTTTCTGTCCACATTGACGGCTTATTTGGGGAGTTGGGTCCTTGGAAAGTTTCACCACATTTCATTCCATTGCATGTATTAATCTGTAAGTGAAAAAATAAACATACTAAGTTCTATTGTCCATTGAATAACAATATTCAAGCTTAAGAGATAAGGCCTAGTTAAAAGTGAAAAAATGAACATACTAAGTTCTGCAATTTTATTTTATTTTATTTCAAATTAATATTGAAATAAGTGAACTAACCACTGGATCAGGAGCATCACTTTGCTTGCACATCACCCATGGTACACCAGTCTGGAGGCCGACAGCCATTTCTGCTGCCCAACGTACGTATGAAGGTCCTTTCTCCTTAAAAGCTGCTTCAACGTTTTGATATTCATTCTCAATCTGTTGAAGGTTAGTTACTAAATTTCACTACCATCAAAATTAAATTGCATCTTTTCAGAAAGATTCATGACTTCATCATATTCCACTCGTAAGGTCATTTACTTACCTGTGATAGTATGATTGGGCCTCCTTGTGAAGCATATAGACCTTCTGACTTCATCAAGTTGACTATTTTTGTGGTAAAGTTCTGCATATAGAACTACAAAAAAGAATTTTAAAACGATTTTTGAAATCACATGAAGGCAAACCAAAATTTCATGTTGAACAGATTATAATCAGTAGTGTAATAATATGACTTGGTTATATTTTTGTATGGTATTCTAGAAATTCAAGGTTATGGGGAAATTGCATTTGGAGGCACAAGATTGTTGAACCAGCTAATGCATGTGAACCAGAATTGCGACAATTAAGAGTGATGGTAATCTTCTCATATCTCAACTTTGCTTTCATATTACTTCATATGTGTGCCAACTCTATGCAGTCCTTATTGGGGATAATGTTAGGGGCCGGAAAGAGTGCTTCTCATATCACGGAAACCTCATTATGATGCTGCTCTACGTCTTATACGTTATTTGGAAGGTCAAATGCAGTGTTCCGTTAGGGGCCGGAAAGAGGTGCAAGGGACTATTGCTTGGTGCAGTGGTAAAGTGCTCATGCTATCAAGCATGAGAATGGTGAGTTCGAATCCTGAGAGCAGACACTTTGTGCAAATAATGTTGAAAGTTAGGTTTGTATCTAGTTTTCCCCTCCCAACACTCCCAATTATGGAAATGAGATTTGTTATGCTTAGCTGTGTTGTTAGAGAATAGAGGTTAATAGTTTTCTGAAAAATGTTGTATAAGAACAGAGATTAAAAAAAATGCCAAATTTCATGGAACAATTTCTAGCGGTTCTCTGTTTTCCAAGAACTGAACCAAAGAGGGTGATATTGAGGATTAGTCAAATAAAGAGGAGGCATTTGTACCTTGAAGGGTTCGTTATCAGACCGATAAATAATGCCGGGAACATCATGCAACCAAAAGGGAAATCCCCTGCACAATCCAAACAACTCAATCCAACAAGATCAACAAAATGCTTACATCCGAGTGTTGCATTCCATTTATAGCAAAATTTAGCATTTTTCAATAGCAAATTACATACTGTAGCCTAGTGATACTTTCTCGTTTTTCAAAGTAGAAGGTTTGATAAGGGACAAGTAAGTGTGAGCTAAAAAAAAAAAAAATTACCACAAACAACAAAGTAATCTGTACAAATAAAAATCAGGGCATAAATATTGTCAAAAAAAATAAAAATAAAAAATAATACATGGAAGTGTTAAGTGCAATAAAGCCTTTATAAACCTATATAATTTGGTATGGAGCTCAATGATATTTTCCATGGTTAATTTAGTAATAGTCATCAAGAGCTTGATCGCATACACACACACACATATACATATGTATATATATGACCCGTGAAGCTAGTGCATACATGACATGGATGTTACGGAAAGCTATGTTTAATTTTTGTAGAAAAACTAGTAAAAAGAAAAGATAAATACAAACCCATAAGTCCATTCACTCTCAATAAATGGTCCGATCCTTAGGCAAGCGTACAGGCCTTGGGCATGGATTTCCTTGATAAACCTTACCAAATCGTATCTCCCAATGAAATTATACTGTGCAACATAAAACTAGTGTCAATATGTGTGTGTTTACAAATATATATAGAGAGAGATTAGTATAAGGCAAGGGGTATATATATATATATATATATATATATATATATATATATTGTGGTGATAGACCTGGTTAGGCCGAGGCTCGTGGAGATTCCAGAAGACATAGGTTTGTATGACGTGCAGTCCTCCTTCCTTGGCTTTGGCTATCAAAGATGGCCACATCTGCAGTACGCAAACAAAACAAAACAAAATTGACCAAAATTTTTTAGTTGCAATAATTTCTTAAAATTATTGATTCTAACGATGTCATTAAATACAATTGAGGTGAAATGACAAAAGCATACAACTTCATTTAAAAAAAAAAAAAAATTCACAATTGGTTGAAAGCACTGATTCATCATTCATCTGCAGAACAAAATAATTAAATAGTTGTGCTTCAAATCTCATTTTATTTAATATTTAAATTCTCACAGTCCGAAAAATAATTAATATTTAAATTATTTATGCAACTTTTCAGGGGTTAGGGAATTTTAAACTAGACAATAGTGTTCATTAGATTGCTTCTATTTTTATTTTATTTTCCATTGTATATTCTTTTCTCTTGATTCTCATTATTATTTGTTCAATTAGGTATTTGACTACAAAGAAGGCCAACTTTGGAACTTAAAGCAATCATTGGAACTTAAAAGCTAAATTTGGAGTTGAAGTGCTAAAGGACCGTTGTGAGCAATTCTTGACACTCTTATATTTTAATTGTTTCACTTCTTTGTATACTTGTGATAGCCCTTGTTGAGGCTCATTTTATTGCTAAATTTTTGTCCAAGCATAGGCCCTTGTTGAGGCCAATTTTTTTTTCTTGCATTTGGGTTTTAATTGTGAATGGAGGAATTATTTGATCCAAGTTTGGGGGGGGGGGGGGAATTACATCCCTTCACCTTATGTTCCTCCATCACATTTTAATCCTCATGAGATTGAGTCCAATTCATTTCATGCATCATCTTATTATGGACTTGATCACTCATTTAATCTTTCTTATGACTATTGCCCTCCACCACCATTTAATGATGAATCAATTCCACCACCTTCTAAGTACTCACCCGAATTTGAAGAAAAAGTGTTAGCTTTACTTGATGTGCATATTTCACACACTTCACTTATTAATTCTCATTCTCAAACTTTAGCTAACTTAGAAGCTCAAGTTGAGCAATTTGCAAGTACTCTTTCTCATCAAGAGGAGGAGGAAGAGGCAAATGAAAAAATGGCAAGAACTTTAATGAATATAGATGAGGATGATGAGAGTGAGGAGAATGAAATAAGTGAGCTAATGCCTAACACTCTATCTTGTATAGAGGAGGAAGTGGCAAGTGAGTTAGTGGCTAATCCAATAGAACATAACATGATTAATGAGGACTTTCCTTGTTTTGATTATGATTTTATCTCGGAGATGGCTACTCTAGAGAGTGAGGAGATGTTGACCACACTTGAGGTAGGAGAGAAGGAGGAGGAACTTGTTGAAGAGGGCCTTCCTTCTATTATCTCTAATGACCCTCTTGAGGAGTGTCTTTTGGAAATGTATAAAAATTGTGGTTTTGACTTTAAAAGCTCTAAAAATGAAATAAACTCTCTAATGGACTCCTTAGCTTACTTAGTAGGTAAGGAAATGGTAATTTATGAGGAGGAGAAAAGGGATGAAGAGAGGGTGTTTCTTATTAATCCAAATGAGTCTTTGAAAGACAATGCCTCACCAATTATCAATATGGATGATCATTTGAATGTGTTTCAAGAACACAACAAAGAGGCAAGCCTAACCATGATTGACTTTGTTTTTAAGACCGTGGATGAAAGGAACAATATCATCTCTTTTATTTCTTTTCAAGTCATTCTTTTGGAGGATGATTTCATTGTCATAAGTGGGACATTAAATGAGAAAAGTGAAAAGAGGGTCAATAAGGATGTTTCATATCCAGTTTTTGATTCATTTGATTAGTGAGTTGACCAAACGTCTTGCTAGAGACGTTAAACACTAGTATTCGTAGAGTTTCACAACTCTATTCCTCCCTCATTTCTTTGTATTTTTCATTCTTGTGTACATTCTTCCATCTATTTTTCAAATTTTCATTCTTGTTACCATCATTGGGGTTTAGCATAGGATTTTCTGCACTTTCAGTTCAAAATTAGGTATTTGGTGCCAGTTCGATCGATCGCAAGAGCACCTTCGATCGATCGAATTGTTCTTCGATCGATCCAACAATCGATTCGATCGATCAAACTCCACTTGAGTCCCAACACTTAGAAAATTTTTTGAGCTTTCATCAATTCTGAAAGTGCTTGCTCTCGGGATCTCCAGGATTTTCACTGTTCGATCGATCCAACTACAATTTCGATCGATCGAAGAGTATTTCGATCGATCCAATTTCTTAGTTCGATCGATCCAGAGTCCCAACACTTAGAAAAATTTTGGACATGTTTCAATTCTGAAAATGCATGCTCTCGGGATCTCCAAAATTTTACATGTTCGATTGATCGAATTTCATCTCGGATCGATCACAGCTATGTTCGATCGATCGAACTTCATCTTCGATCGATCACAACTTTGCCCCTTTGACCCTTTCACTTTTTGACTTTTTTTCCTATTTCTATTTTTATTTTATTTTATTTTTTTATTTTATTTTATTTCATTTAGTTACCTCTCTCTTGACTAAAAAAAAAAAAAAAAGAAGTTTTTGAAAATTTGTTAAAAATACAAAAATATTTTTGTTAATTTTATTTTATTTTCAAAAATTCCAAAAAGATTTTTATTTTATTTTCATTTTTACTTTTATTTCCAAGCTTTATTTTTATTTTTATTTCAAATATTAAAAAAAAAAAAAAAAATCAAATCCCAAAAACATTTTTCTTTTATTTTATTTTATTTTATTTCCTTTTATCTTATTTCCAAAAATCCAAAAATATTTTATTTAACTTTAATTTTTAATTCTTCAAACTTATCAAAAAAAAAAAAAAAATAATCTTTGCATTCCTTATTTTCTTACATTTTTATTTACTTGCCTTTTTATTTTTATTTGTGTACATATTTGTTTTGTCTAAAAAAATAAAAAATAAAAAAATGAGACGATTTTTCAAAGAAGTATTCCGTCTTACTAGAGACGTTAAACTTAGCACCCATTTTGCATATTTCTTACATTTTTCATTTTTCTTTGCATGTTTTCATATATATATTAAAAAAAAAAAATGAAAAAAAAAGAAGAAAATTTTGTATATACTTGCATTGTACATATTCTTTCCATTTTTTTTACATTATACATGTTCCTTTTCATTTCTTGCATTACACATATTGTTTTTTATTTCTTACATTGAACATATTCTTTCATTACATTTTGCCTTATTTAATTTTCTTTTTATATTTTGTTCATGCATTTTATTCTTTGTTTTTCTTGCATTTTGTATATACTTGCTTTCATTAAATGAAAAATATAAAAAGATTCATCATTGTGCCCTTATGTGTAGTCATGCATACTTTATGCTTTAGTTATGGCTTGATCTTATATCTCTCTTGCATCATGTGTTACATTGCCTTAGAATGCTTGATTTGATTATTCTTATCCCATTTGATATTTGATGTGAGTTTGCTAGCGTGGTTATTCAAGTAGGTTGTTGATTCCAAGTTTGGGGGAGACGTCTTTCGAATTGGATCATGACCGGATTTCATGTCTACACCACCACGGTATACTCTTTCCATCTTTTCCATTGTTCTCATTACACATTAAGGACAATGTGCGGTTTAAGTTTGGGGGTAAGGTGTCTTGTTGCATTCTACTTAAGATTTTAGCTTTAAATGCATGATTGAGATTTGAAATTGATGTTAGCTATGATTTTGATTTTTTGAGGACTATATTACTTAAAATTTAAAAATTGCTTGATTTGAGAGTCCAATACTCCTTGTATGCCTTGAGGATGCCATTTAGGAGTAAATTTTTCAAAAGATTGATATCTTGCTTGCATTTGTGGTCCACATCATCCTGAATTTGTGATTGTTTTGAGATTCATTCTAGGATTCTACATTAGCATTCATTTGTGGGGTACATGCTTTGTTGATTATTGAATTGGTTATATCCCAATTGGGCTAGTAGTGCATTAAAAACTTCCATTCTTGATAAAGGTGGATAACAACCCCTTTTCATTGAGTAGCCGGGATTCTTACCTCATTAAGCAGTGAACTTCTCGCGCTGAAAGGTGGAGGGCCCAAACTCTAGGTTAATAATTGAATTCAAAAATAAAAAAAAAAAAAAATAAAAAAAAAAAATAAAAGAGAAAAAGTTGCAAAAGCAATAAAAGTGAGGACTTCTCCCAAAAGGCGAGAAGTGGGAAATGATTAGATAGTTGTTGTCTTGATTTGTAACCTCGTTGATTTGAGTTTGTAAGTCCGTTGGGGTGTCTTAACACCTAATGCCCTAAAGCCATCTGGTTTGGGAGTCATTGACCTAAAGCTCGCTACATGAATCTTCTAGAAAGCTTAAGAGATCAACACATTGCACAATATTTCCATCTTTGATCTTCAATAAAAAAAAACGAAAAAGAGTGAAAAGAATAAGCGCACCTAGAACAATAAAGCTTTAATAAAAGGTCCACTCTCTTATTTTGATGATCGGTACTAGATTTGTGTGCTAGTTTGAGGGTAAGGATGTGATTACTTCTCTAGTTGGCTAAGATAGCAACACACTTGATGCCGGACCTCTCACATGGATTCTAGACTTGTTTCGATTTTCATGATCATTTTCTTGATATGTGGAGGACCATACTTGTTTGCTTGATATTGAAATTTTGGGAGATTGCTTAGAAACGGTTGAAAAATTGCATACTTGAGGTAGTTTTCTCCCAATGCTTGTTTGCAATATTGGTACCTCTTTTGAAAGAATGAGCTTAATGTTTGTGGGTACCATTTCTGGAAACCCTCACGAGACTTTACTCGTCCACTAGGGGTAACCTAGGGGTTTAAAAGGCTTGTTGCATATGCTAAATGCAATCGTATTCCCTACGAAAATGGTGTTATCATTTTACTTGCTTTCCAGTTTATACTTGTATAGTTGTTTATTTCATTCCTTTACTTCTTAGTTCATTGTTAGGGATTAGCAATATTTAAGTTTGGGGGTGTGATGAGCACTGAAAAGTACGCATTTAAACCCGTTAAGCTTAAGCATTCTAGTACCTTTATCTATCTTACTTTGCCGTTTTAGACTTATTATGTGTTATTTATATTTTCAGGCACTAATCCCAAAATTGAGCTAACTCAGCCAAATAAGAGCTTAATTGAAGTAATCCTGAGATAAACCAAAGGAGGGAGCAAAGTGGAGAAAGAAAGGAGCAAAAAGGAATCAAGTTGTGCAGTTGAAAAGTTCGATCGATCCAACTTAGAGTTTGATCGATCGAACATCTATGATCGATCACAGTATTTCTCGATAGATCCAACCTTGGCCTTTGCTGAAATTCCAAGTTCGATCGATCGAACATCACCTTCGATCGATCGAATCCTATTTTGTCCTATTCAAATGATTGATCTTATCCATAACTGTACGCCTACCAACCACTTTTGTCTTTTTCCCCATAAATATCTTGAAAATATCCCAGCCTTGTCATTATCCAGAGGAGTCAGATCACTTCGATCGATTCAAGATGCAATCCAAGATGCAGTTCGATCGATCGAACCCATCTTCGATCGATCCAAGTTAAGGTTAGATCGGTGATTAATATTTAGAATCAAGTGTAAGAAACACCCTCACTGGAACTGGAAAGCGAACAGCATTTGGGGCTAGCACCATTGACCAAGTGATTGAAGTCTAAGCCCTTTCCTTCCATGGCCTCTGGGTCGTGATCGTCTCACTTCAGTTACAAAAAAATCTGTGTTTATTTTAATGGTTTTGATTATCAAAGTTATGGTTCTCTTGAGCAAATCGCCGAACATGTGGAGCATGTTTGGAATCAATACCCATTTTTCACCGCCCCAAATCTAAACCCATAATCCAAATCAAACACCAAAATTCACTGCCTCAATCTAAACTCATAACCCTGTTCTTCAGCCTCAAGCTTAAAAACACACTTCGACTTTAACTACCCAACAAGTATATTAATATAGATGTATATGCGAAAAACATATACATATGCATAAATTATATCCATGACGACGAACTCCAAACTACCAAGACCAAACGATGAACTCCAAGTGACCAAGACCACCTCGTCAAGCTCTGCGTCTCTGACAGCGAACCAATCCGTCACCATTGAATCCGGCGAACAGCTCCGAGCCAAGTCAGAAGTCTCTGGACCCAAAACGGAGAGCAGAGCTTCATCTCAAATCAAGACCCGTTTCATCAACACTATGAACTCCGGTGAGGATCTCGGACTTCACGACGACCATGACGACATCCGACCATCATATCTGGCGAAGGCTAAGCGACTCAATCGGGATTTGGATCCGTCGGGGGGAAATCGGATCTGGAGCGGTTTGTGGACTATTTGAATTCGGGACCGATCCAATCGTCTCCCTCGCGCCATGGCCGAACCACATTGGGTTTCACCAAAATGGTGTCCGCGGATGATGACTCAGGATTAGAAGGGCATTTGGTATTTTAAAAGTTTTTTAATCAAAATGTTTAATTAGGGGGTAATTTGCATTAAAAAAAAAACAGTAAATAGTTTTTTTTTTTTTTTTTTTTTTTTTTTTTTAACACCTTTTGTGTTTAGTTAAGATATTTCTGGCACTAAACTTCAAAATCTATTTATTTGGTTTATAATGCATGATTTTTTATATGCCACGTGTGTGCGTACGTACAGAAAGGGTGCCACAATGAGTTTATGACTTCAAGCGATTAATGGCTCTTTCTGGTCCCCATGCGGCAATAGTAGTTAAAGATTTAAAGCTTTTAATGCTTAGGTTAGTTTGTTTAGACTGTAAAATATTTTTTTAAAAAATAATTTTTTATTTTTATTATCGGTATTTAACAAAAATTTATATCGAAATTGAGATCAAATTTATCGAGTGAAACATGTAAAATAATTTACCTGACAAGTTATTTTTGTTAAATTTCTATATATATATTTTTCGTAAATATTTTAAGAGAACTAAATACCAAAAATTTAAAAAATATTTTACGTCCAATATAAAATATTTTCAACCTTAAAATAACTTTGAAACACTGATCACACTAGTCTTCAACTTTTAAGAGGAAGAATATGAAAATAGGCATGAGTGATCACGATTGAGTGTAATTTTCATTCCATACTGATTCATAGCAAAGATATTGGTATGTCTACTCTCAATGACGAGCCAGAATTTCAAATGAGGGAGCACACTGCTAAAAAAAAATAATAATACTAATACGGAGTACATATACATATTTATATATATAACAACTATAAAATTCAAAAAGACAAAGAAGAAGAAAATTATTAAAATATAAAAGGAAAAAAAATGAAAGAACTTTAATAGGAAATAGTTAAAAAGTTTCAATTGAGAAAGAAAAATTTGATTTTTTCAACTAAAAAAATTTAAAAAATGTGAAGAGTAAAAAAAAAAATAAGAATATAATTTTAGGAATTACAGATTTAAGGGGGACACTATATAAATTTTTTCATATATATGAAATTTTTTTTAAAAAATTACCACATAGGTTGCTGGCCAACTCGGGGGACACGTGCCTCCTTAGGCCTTCATTAGCTCTGTCCCTGTCTACTCTTATTCAATTGATTAGTTAGACTCTCTCATTTTAAAAATTGGATTTATCCGTCTTGGCAAGTTATTTATAATCCAGAAAATAATACATTTACCAAATAATATGAGTACTTGTAGTGATTATCATTACCTCAGGAGTGCTTCGAGGATAGTGAATTGAACCAGAAAAGAGAATTTTTCTTTGCCCGCCAATGATCAGAGATCTTCCATCATATCCTACTACGTCCGCTCGGCTAACACCACCGTCTCCGATGATAGTCACCACCACAACCACCCAAGAAAGCCACCACACCATCTCTTTTTTCTCTGCCTGCCTCTCTCTCTCTCTCTGTAAAATTCTAAATGTTTAAACTCTCTCTCTCTCTCTAAATGTTTAAACATGCCAACAAGAATATATTGCCCGTATAAGTTGGTTTTTGTGAAGGAGATTCGTCAGTAAAGTATTTTGGACGTCAAGAGACATTGCTGAGCAATGAGTGTACGATTTAATTTGCCTTCTAAAAAACAGTTTGCATTGTATTGTTTCAAAAGTCATCGTGGCGTGGTTGTAGTTCCAAGATACATTGTCAGGAAGTGAAAAATGTGTGGCCCTACGAGAGAGGCACCCCACAACCATGCCCAACATTATGATAAGTGGCCTACTTTTATAGGACAAAATTTTCTTGATATATATATATATATATGTAGTAAGATAAGTAATTTTAGGCTATTTTCTTGTAAATAAAATTGTCATCTTTTTCGAGAGTCCCAAACAAAGTGAATTGTTTTAAATGAAATCCTCAATCTGATTTTAAAAAGTGGACAAAGGAATGATTCAATTTAAAACCAGATTGAGGATTGAGGATTTCATTTAAAACAATTCACTTTGTTTGGGACTCTCGAAAAAGATGACAATTTTATTTACAAGAATTTTTTTCTTCATAGTATAGGTTAATTAATTTTTCTTTCTTTCTTTCGCGGATCTACTCAAGTTCATCCCATTTTTTTTTTTACTCACATACATATGTCTCTTTTGAGACGTGAATCCTTAATTTTTCTTTGAAAGGTTAAAAGACTGATACTGCTAAATCACAGGTCCATTAATATTTATTAATAATATTATCCCACTCCATTAACAATTCTTGAATCTGTCCTTAAAATCATAATATAGTTTAATTTAGTGGCTTTGTTTTTCCAATTATCGAATCTGTATTACAGGGAATGGATCTAAAGTTTTTCGATCATCATATAGAAACGATTAGCTGAGAAAATTTATCGGGGAAAAAATTAGTGGAGAAGTTTGTTACAAAGAGGATGCTACAACTGATTTTCATTCCATAATAATCCATTCTCTCACTAAAAACGATCATCATTCACAACCTGTTCTGTTTATCTTTCCTTTGCATATTTAAATAAGTCTACATATAAAGAGATGTGTTCCCTAAATATGTTTGTATGTTTGTATCGATTCCTGATACTATTTTCCTTATTATTATTATGGATAATACTTATCTATTTATTGTGAGTAGGTCTCTTTTACTCCTTACTGATGCGACTCAATAATATTTGGACATATTTTTTATTATTAAAAAATTATAAAAATAGTAAATAAATAGAATAATGCAACTTTATTTGGGTAAAACAACTTCATTGTCGTCATCATCTCCGCTTTCTTCTCCCTCTTTCATCCCATCCTCCCTTTGCTTTTCTTCTTCCCCTCACGTTCCCATGGATATCTGATGTGTGTTTTCAATAATAAATCACTAGCAATAGAACGAATTCTTGTAAGATATGACTAAATTGAGGGTGTCGAATCGCAAGGACCGCTTTGGTATTGTTAAATATAAAATTCCGATTTGATTTAAGAGAGAGAAAGATTTGTTATTTTTCTATTCCTAATTGCAATGGAATAATAAAAACTAAAAATAGAATACTTTAATTAGTGAAAGTTTTCCAAGAGAAAGGGGCTTAGGGGATTAATTTCCCCACTAACCTCATAACAATGGTCAATCATATTAATTCCAGAGAAATTCATTATATGTGTACTATGAATCATGCGGCTACAACTCAATGATTATATTAAGATGATAAATATATTAATAACCAATAAGCATAGCTCATTTTCGGTTAGCATGGATTGTCTATCTAACTACTGTAAATTAGGGTGTCGTATAACCCATCTTCCCTAAGCATGAACTATCAAATTATTGGCTAACATAAACGATGAATACTATTCATTAACAATCCTTCTCATAATCACATAAAGTAAGAATGATATGAATTCAATCGAAACAAAACCAATTTCTAAGACAAGATAAAAATTTCATTAAGATCAAATTTAAACATTGAAATCCAATTGCAATTGCTACAACCAAAGCAATTCCCAAAGTTATACAATTCATACACTTATATATAGAATTCTTCGAAAATAAATATAATTAAACCATGTTACTTGGCTAGGGTTACATTAACTCCCTAAGAAAGAGTTTAGCTACTCATAGAGAAAGTAAAAAGCTTCAATGATGTGATGAACTCCATCTCCATGGACTGCAAATATGATCGGAATCACCTTCTTCAAGCTTTAATAATTAAGGATTGCTCTGAGCCGCCAATAATCTCTTGTGTGTTCTCCCTCTCCGGTAGTCAATAATTATGACCTACATTGGCCAACAATAGACCTTAAACTCATGCTCCAACTTTTGGAGCAAGTCCAGCCTAACTAGGATTGGAAGATGGCAAAAATCAGCAATCCCGTAGAAAATTAAAAAATCTGCCCAAACAATGGAAGTTCGAACTTTCAAAGTGGAAGTCCGAATGCAACCTTAGAAGTTCGCAATCCTGCAAAAAATTAAAAAATCTGCCCAGGCAATGGAAGTTCTGTAACGGCCCGATCATTTGCCTCCCTTTCCTTTTTTTTGAAATTTTACGAATGAATTTTTTTCGTTTAATTTTCTTTTCTGAACTCTATTTCTTGTCGCTTAGTGTCATCTCGAGTGCTCGAAAATGGTTTCCGAGACTCTTTTCCATAGATTGACAACTTCCTTTGAGGACCGAGTCATTTTTGCATTTTCACTTTTCGGACACTATGTGCCTTTCGTCCTTTTCCCTGTTTCGTCTTTTTCCCTATTCTGTCTTTTCCCCGTTTGTCACATTATTGACACAGTCTCACTTCTCATGCTCGGAGTTGGTTTTTGACTTCACGTGCCTTCATCTTGAGTGGTTTCCTTGAAATACGTATCTTTACTTTTGCAAGAAGGTACTCTGGTTGCTCCCGGTGCCCATAGGGGTATGGATGCACAATTCTTCAGAATCTTTTTCATTTCTTGGGGTATTTTTCGTAAATATCTTTTGAAGATATTTTATTTCAGGGGCATCTAAGAAAATATCTTTTGGAAGATATTTTCATTCTGGGGCAGTTTCGCAGTTAACTCTTTTTGTAGGGGCCATTGTGCAATTAACGAAAGTTATTGCAAAATGTCTCGTATGGAGCCTGGATCCTCGTATGGGATTCATTTTCACATTTTGTCGAGTCGTGGACTCTTAGAATTCCGTTCTGGTCGTTTTTCTCCAGTTTTAGAGTTTCTGGACCCGATTGCCGCCGAACTTGTTTAGGGTATAACTTTCTGCTCAGGACTCAGTTTTCGATGCTATTTCTTCTGTTGTTCATATTTTCTCATTTTGAATCTTTTTCGTTCATGGAGTTTTTCCATTTGAGAGCGTTTGCTCAAATTTCACTTTTCCGGACCCGGCGGGGCTCGTTCGGGGTACTTTTTGAGATTTCTATAAAAGGGGGGTGAAATATTTTATTTTTCATCTTCTCCACTCTCCTTGCACAACCTGAAGCAGCCATGGATGCCCATGGAGCTGCCACCTTCTCTTTCCTCCTTTGATCTACTTTTCATAAGTGAAAAGTCTTCGGCCTTCACGGTTTTTGTTCCCCTCGACGTGTTCTACCATTCCCCCTATTAGAATTCATTTTTGACCATTTCTTGAGTTTGGATTTGAGGTCAAGTTGTGATTTTCATGGGCTTCCTTCGGATTCATGTAGATCGTGTTGTCCCCGACAAAACCCTTCGGTTTCGGCGGATTCGGAACACTTTTTTTCGGTGGGCCTTTGAGGTTTTCATCTCAAATTGAGGTAGGGGGTGTTATACGTTTAATTATTGTTATATAACATGCTATTGATGCTTATACAACTTGTTTACATGCTTAAATATGAAATCTAGAGATTTTATTATTTTAATTTTCTTGTGAAGGATTTAATTTTTCCAGTTGTTCATAACTTTGTTTAATCATGTGGCATGATAGAATATTACCCCTTGATATGTTGATTAACATATATTAAATTGAGAGAAATTGGACAAGTAACGAAGATTTTATTTAATATTTTACTAGAATAAAATATTAATTCATGTGGCCTTAACTAACTTGAAATCGATGTGTGTTAGCATATTATATTAGGCCCTAGCATGCTCTTCAACATAGATTAAATTGAGAGTGATCGGAGAAGTTTTGAAATCTAGTAATATTTAATTAATTAGATTAATTAATTTATTCCGGGTGTACTATTCATCCTATTAGAATTCCGACTTGACATTCTTGATATGCATGCTATATGGTTTCACATATATTAAATCTAGAATATTTGATTTGGTTTTGAAGTCTTTCATTTATTATTTTTCTTGTATTAAAGTTTAATACACATGGCCGTAACTTGTATAGAATGTACTTGTATCATGCTCTTAAATCAAGTCTTGACATGTTTAATAACATATATTAATTTGAGATCATTTGGACGAGTTTTAAAATTCAGAGATTTTAATTAAATGAAATAATTAAAATCCATTCAATGGTTCTATGCACTTGATTAGGTTTCCAACCTTGCATACATGATTTCCTTGACATTTTCCTTCACATGTAGTAAATTGAGAATAATCGGATAAGTTTGAAACTTATATTCATTTACTTCCTTTGTATGGAACTTAATTCACATGGTTATGTCTTGCATGAAATGGACTTTTAACTTGACATTGAACTTGACCTTGATATGATCCTTGACACACCTTGTTCATAAAACATTTGGACTTGCCTCGTAATCATGATAATTTAATCCCTTAGGTTGATTAAATTTTCCTTTTTATGCTTCCATCGGTTTAATCATGACCCCTTGTATCTAGGTTTCATTAATGTACTTAATGAACACGCTCACTTGTCTTGGAATGATTCAATTACTCATATGTTGCTTAGAAAGTAATTGAATTATGTATTTTATACTTGTGGTATATTTATTTCAATGAACTCCATGTGCTATATATCTTGGATGTTGTCTATATAGTTGCATACTATGATTTCTTGTCATCTCACATGCCATGATAGTTGATAAACTAGGGGCATGACTTGCGTGTTCCAAAATCTTGGTTGTGCATGAAATGTGGTTAATGTATTTATTGTATTTGATACAATCTTGACTTACACAACTTGTTGATTTTGGAACTTGGGATATCAATCAAGAATAGGG